CCTTACATTACATACATTACTCAGTGTTTATGACTAGGGCTCAGTATTTCATTGATGAATGGCTTTGCTCCATGGTGTTAGTATTTTTGTGTAAATGTTTAACACTGTCAAATAGCCCCCAAAGCATTGAAGAGCAAATGAGATCTAGTTCTGCATTAAACTAGATCAAACAACAATTATAATTTTCTCACTATGGTTGGCACATTTCGGAATTAAGTGTGAGAGCAATAAAACAGCTTAAATTATTCAAAATATGTTTGCAATGTATACATTGTAAGCTGAGGTTACTAGAGACAGTGAATAAATTGGTACATTAGGTAAGTGTTAGGTGTAAGACATTAGCTTTTTTGTGACATATGCCCTGTGCTAAAGCCCATAAATGGCTTGTTGTACTTAAAAAACAGAATTTTTGAGGGCTTTTGAGTTGTTTTTAATTGTATTTTTTACCATGTTTGACAAAGCCATGATAGCAGCAACTAGCTAGTAGCAGCTAGTCTGTCTCTTTGTTTCCAGAATGTATACTGGCTAGGTCAAATGCATCCCTGACCTCTGTAGTGGATACACAGACTATAAAGATGTCTCTATTTATTTTTTGGAAATTTGAGGACTAAAATACTCCACCATGTTCACCAGCTGGTTGCTAACATTCCTGATTTGGGGGTGTGAAAATATTGTCACCCTTAACTTAAATCTATCTCTGTACTTAAAATCCACATCAATTATACTCTGGGCAACAAGACAAACAATATAAATTGCCACGTAATTATACTCTACATGGAATGATCAATGGTTAAAGCAGTGGACGTGCATTGTGTCTGTGTTACACACATTTTAACCAAAGCCATTTGTCAGCTCACTGTGCAGTCAGTGAGAATGCCCCAGTTCACCTCATCAGTTATTTAGCAAATGTATTTCCAACATTATTTATCACATAATTTCTTCACTGGTAAAACAAACACCTCCAGCTTCAAATCGAGGATGAAAACTGTGGCAACTCCATCAAAATTTGTCAATTCCATTCCTCTTTTCTCAGTCTATCCATCATAATTTGCATAAAAATACTGAGATGGATACGGAGCCAGGGAAATGATGAAACAATATACACTTGTGAGCTTCCTTTTCTATCTGCCTCACCACTGATTCCGCTCGGATTTAGCCTTTTGGTCCATTTATCACTCATTCCTTCTTATTCATCTGTCAGATATAGGACTAGTGGCTGCCTAACAGTGCAGACAGATGGGTGGACTGATGCAGATGGACAGTAGATGGACAGACGGATAGATACACACAGAAAGGCAGACAGTTAAAGGTTAGGTGAGGACAGGACGGGTTAAACATTGGACACTGCTCTACATTCCAGAGCTGCCTTGCGTACTTTTCCTATTATAGGTCTTTCTGGGTGGCATTATGTTTAGTGTGTGTGTGTGTGTGTGTGTGTGTGTGTGTGTGTGTGTGTGTGTGTGTGTGTGTGTGTGTGTGCGCGCAACCGGCTCCAAGCTACCTTTGTTTTGGAGGAGATGTAGCTGGAAAGCTGTATGTATACCATCCTTCATGTGCCTGGCTGCTTTGGCACAAACACACGCACACATTCAGCCTCAGCGATAAGAGAGGACAAGCACCCAGAGGAGTGTGTGTGCGCTGTGTGGTTTTGTGCATGCCTTTTGGTGCTTTTTATTGCATGACTATGAATCTCATTACATTTGTCAGCCAGTTTGTCCTTGTAGGGATCTCTCCGTATCAAGATGTGCACAAGTGTCGTACCAGAGTGTGTATGACAGGATGTAAAACTGGTTTTTGTCCTCGACTCTGTCCCCGCGTGTAGATCTGCTTCGTCTGCTTTAGTTTGGGAAGTCTCCTCACGCAAACTCCCTCCCAAGGTTGGGCCTCCCCCGTCCTCTCCTGCTTCTCATTTCTTAGTCCGCCTCCCGCTGCCCTTCCCCTGTATCAGCATCATCAACACTGGCACGGACTCTGACGAAAACAGCGCACGACTTCCTGTCGTTTCTATCGTTTGTTTGATACACTCCATTTCTCCTCGGCTGTTTCTTCATTCCAGATGAGGGGAGATGGGTCAGTTTTCACTGAGCACACCAAACTTCATCTGGCTCTCATCAGGGGCAGCAAGTGTTTTTGCATGGACTATTTTTCAACAGACATCATTCATCATCCGCTTTTAAGTTTGTTTATGTAACTCTGTCTGACGAAAAATTACCCTAATATTTGTATTCTATTGCTCTGGGGAGTTATAGCGTGTCTATGGCACCGAAACATCAGTTTTCCCATTGGTATCCTGATATGTTACCCACAGAGACTAAGCTATTCAGCACTGAAATCATGGTGAATTTATTGTATATTTATTATCTACTATAGCCTGATAATTCAGTCTGATATGCTGAAAACTGTTTTTTGTTTGGAAGGGTTTGTTATTTTGACCTAACTAATCTGGAGTGACTCATGTATTTGTCCTGTCAACATCATAGAAGAGGTTAGCAGTAGTGGTTGGAAGGGGCGGTTAACTCAATAGCTCCACATTTTGGGAAGTAGGCAGTGAGATAAACTCATATTTATATGCTAAATACAAGGCTAGAGTGACTGCTAGCTTAGCTTAGCATGGAAACACAGGGAAAAAGCTAGCCTGGCTCTATATGAATTTATCAAAGTCTACCTACCAGAACCTTGAAAGCTCAACACACAACACAAAGATGCCCCATTCTAAATCCTGCTGACAATTATGTAATTGGTTTGATTATCAGAACACTTGGCCATTCATTTTCTGTTGATTGACTTATCAATTAATGTGCTAATTGTTGCAGTCCCAAGTCTTATAAATCGCCATTAATCATCATAAATCATTTCTTTCTTCTGTGGTATCACATAACTACTATATGAGTGTGCTGTATCTGCAGTACCCAATAGTGAATGTAAACTAAACGTAAAGGGCACTGCAGTGACTCAGTACTGCACCTCTCTAAGGTTGTGGGACCAACAAGAGACAGACTGAATTTTTTAAGAAAAAGAAAAAAAAAGGAAGGTCAATCAGTGCAGGGAAGGCTAAAGTATTCTATCTTTTAGTCTCTAGTATGAGTCATGCTCCTAAAAGTCTGGATTCTACACTTCCCATAATACAGCTCAACAGTATTTTTTCATTAGGCCCTCCCATTTACATGTAATATTGGTAGTGTGGTATATGTAGGAACTGTCCGCCCCTATCATAAGAAACAGGAAATGCACACACAGGTCTTTTTCTTTCATCAAAATAGAAATACTATTGTTAACATTATACAATTAGCCAATGTTAGCTTTAACAGCTGTTTACTTAGCAGTCTAGAAGAAACGTTGTGAATTCAGCATCAGACTTCATCGCCAATGTTAACTCTTTAGTTTCTATTTCGGTCACTTTTTTCTTTGCCGCCAAACATGATTTCTTAATTTTAGTTAATTTCTAAACGTTTTCAACAAAAATTCTTACATATAATATCTTATTAATTTCCTATGGTATATGATATTAACCTTCATATTCCTGTTGGGGCTAATAGTTTTTAATGGTGTGTTAATATATTATATACACCCTATTATATATTCTCTTTAGTAGATCTTTTTGCAAGTTTTAAAAAAAATGCGAGTTGATTCCTTTTGACCTGAATGTCCATGGCGGCCATTACAGAACATTACACTGCTGCTGATGTGATGGGACTACCAGATAGTGTTAGATCCACGTCTCTCCAGTGGTGATGGGTGGGCATCTCTGTGCTGTTATGGTAACTGTTTACCCATTTACCGTGTCTCTGTAGCCCACAGCCCATCTGTCAGCGCTGGGTAAGTATGTGTACATACAGTATGTGTGTGTGTGTGTGTGTGTGTGTGTGTGTGTGTGTGTGTGTGTGTGTGGCATTCATTTTTGTTTTAGTGCTGCTTTGTTATAACAAACCAGCAAAGGTTTCTACTGGGACACCTCAAAGTGCTAGAAGAGAACTCACACATTAATACATTCATTAAGGGAGATTCTTGCACTCAAGGTGACCAACCGGCTTGCGCATACACACACACTCTTACACACAGTCGAACATGTGTTGCGAATTTTTCAGACAGACTTGGACTTGGTGTGAGGAGGGAATTCCTTCATCTGCACGCCCCTTCAAGCTGCACATGTGCTCAGCATCTGCTCTACACACACACACACACACACACACACACACACACACACACACACACACACACACACACACAAGGAAAGGAGAGAGAGTGAGAAGAGATGACGATAAACACTGATCAAGAAACAAGAAAAAAGTTTTTTCAGGCATTCCGTAGTCGCTCATTCCTTTAAGCACTGTCCTTCTAACCTCCCATCACAGCCTGAGAGAGCCTGCTGGAGAGGGTGTGTGTGTGTGTGTGTGTGTGTGTGTGTGCACCGTCTCAAGGTTACGAGGCAGTGTGATCTGATGCTGCTCTTTTATGTACTGTGGGTGCCACTTCCTCCTCTCAATGACGAGTGATTCACCCACTCTTGACGTCTCAAAGGGGATGCACATAACGCCGCCTGCTCTTTTGAAGGTTGATTGTGCGTGTGGATATATGGGTTTGTTTGTTGGGAACACAAACATTGCGTGTATGCCGCGCTCCATGTACAACCACAAACTCACGCACTGAAGTGTGTGTGTGTGTGTGTGGGGGGTGTTTTTCTAACTTTCTGCAGGCCAATGAGCGTTGGAATGAAAGCATATTGTTTGCCAGAACACATGTATTGCAGCTATCTCCAAAGGCAAGAATGTAAATGTGTTTCGGGACATTAGAGGATTAATTACTGCTTGCCCAGTGAGAGTGGGAGAGCATATAATACATGCAATATATAATTGGCTACATAATATTTCCCTTACATTTTCTGTGTTTTTATTCCCAGATGATTGAGCAGGTTCTGCAGTATGAGCGGTGATAATTGAAGTATTTGGTTTGTTGTTGCTGTGTCTGCACGTATTCTCATTCTTTCTCTCCATATGTTGCAGGATGTTGGAGTACTCCCTCAACCTGCAGAACGTCAACTTTTCTGCAGTGAGGACGGTTCGCGTGCTGAGACCTCTGAGGGCCATCAACCGAGTGCCAAGTGAGTTCAGACCTGCCGGCCACTTACACTTCAGCTCTCTAACTAGACTCGGTATCTCAGAATGCTCTGTCCTCTAATCACAACGCTTTGACTTCCCCTGGAGACAGCTGCCCTTCCTTGATCTCAAACTAAGGCCTGCTGCAAACATTGTGTACAACTTTTAGCTTGACCATTGCTTTACAGTGCTTTGTCTGCATCATCAAAATAGGCAAAGACATAGTGCAAATACGTTCAGTTAAAAAACGTTCCAACTCTTTTGGATAGTGGATCAAAAGACGGGAGTTGCCAGAGCCAGTGTGTATGCCACACATTAAAGCAGGCAGTTTATTTTAATCCGGAGCTGACCACTTATTACATTATGCAAGGATGTTTTTCCTGGTGTTTGAACATGTACTGTGATGAAACTTAACCATATAGTTATAGGTGGTTGTACGTGTACAGTGTGTTGCAGACTGTGAGACTACACAGAGCGCATGTTCTATATGTGCATCGCCTCCAGTCCAATCGCTAGACGTAATGTCATTACCGTGGCGATGAGTTGTCGCTGTCAATTAGTGATGTTTGAATGTTATAGCTAATGCTAAGGGCAATATGTTAATCTCAAAAGTTCGCAGTAAAAGAAAAACTAAACAGAAAAACCAGAGAGAGAAAAAAAGCATTAATTCTCCCACAGCCCAGCACTGAACGTACTGCATGTGCCTCAGCACCTCTGATATTAAAGAAATAGTTCATTATTTTTGGAAGAGAAGATCAATACCACTGTCTGTATGCTAAATATAAAGCTGGAGCCAGTATTTATGCTAAGATAAGCTAACTCATAATTACATTCCCACGTGAAAGTTGTATCAATCTTCTCATTTAACTCTGCAGGGAAGTGAATAGGCGTGTCTTTGCCCTGAAGATGCATATATATATGGACCACAGTCTTCTCTATTGAGACATAAGGGTTCCACTCAGTTTATCCATCCCCTAAAACATAGTCAGGCTTAAGAAGAGTGTCACCTTTATGACAGTATGAAAAAATTGTCGTCAGATGCTCAGTGTGTTTACACTTTGTTCCCAGCTTAAGAAGATAGGCTACTTGCCTGAGTTTATTAGCCAAACTTGTGATCTGCTGGCAAACCGACACAATGACAGGTGGCAGTAGAAAGTGATGTGTCTGTTCTTTCATGTCTTTGGTCAGAGACATCAAACTGGCTTCTGCGATGGTTTGAACTCAAATGTCATGGCATTAATATCTAAATCAGACACTGAAGTTCATAACTTGGCCTCAAATAGCCCACATTTATATCCTTACACACTAATTCACTGCAAAAATCAGTTAAAGACTGCCTGTTAATAACTTATCGCAATGGCCAACAAGTAATATCTTGCTTGTCGTGATTAATATGGCTCGGCAGCAGAAGATGTTAACTGTATAGTTTTACTTTATTTTAACTTACTAGACTTGTGCTCCTCCGTCATGGTACTTGCTATAATTGGTGATCATGCAGGTGGATTGAATTCCTACGCAGCAGTGGAATGTAGGTCAGGGACAAGCCGATTCCACACTTAATATGCTGTCTGTTTGACTGTGTCTCTGTGTTTTGGCTTTCCCCAGCAACTCAGCTTTGGACTCAGACAGATTTATATGCAATTTTCCAAATCACCGCTTTTTATTAAAGGACTGTAGTTCATAGTTACACTCACACACACAGACTATCACGCTCATTGCGACGCAAACACACAAATTCCCGAGTCGCTTTCTCCATCTGTCATCCTCCCCGCTCCCTATCTCATATACACACGCACACACACACACACACACACATTATCCTAAACCTCCTAAAAAAGTTCCGTACTCCCCTCCACTTTTCTTCCATTAGTCTCCATTAGAGTTTAATCAGCATAGATTGAATTTCCAGCACACACGTTAATGTTTAAATAAATCATATGCATTTTTATACCCACACAGTGGTCCATTCTGTGCATTCATTCCTACCTTGATTCCACCCCCTGCAATGCTTTCATTTAAATACAGACCCTAATTATGTCATTAGCTCCTCAATTGCTCAGAGGAGATTGCAGGCAAACTGAGTAATGATCCCCAAGATGTGTGTGTGTGTGTGTGTGTGTGTGTGTGTGTGTGTGTGTGTACATGCAGGTGTTTACCCCGTGTGGGTGTATGAATGGGACATCAACCCCCTTCCCAACCTCTCCGATCCCTCTACCGATGACACTCCCAAACCTCTTCTGCAATTTCACCCTCTTGTCAGTCACAGGCGTCGTGGGGGTCCGCTGCTGCTCATTAGACCACGTATACGCACACGCTCAGAGAGCACACAGTCATGCACACAGACTCGCTCATTAGGCATCCAACCATTCCTCATCCTAATCACGGGACTAATAGCGGCATTAATGTGTGGGTGATTTGGTCTGGGTCTGGCCCTGCGGGGAAAATGTCATTGGGTAGTGGTGGTGGTGATGGTGGAGGGGTGGGTGGGGTCCCCAAGCGTTTGGTGTGGCTGATATCTGTCTTCTCCCCCCCCCTTCATCCCTTCACCAGCCTAATCAAGTCCTGTGGAGAAGCTTGCAGCATTTATCATGACTCTGGCTGGGGATGTTTATCGTGGAGCTCAGGCTATTTTGAGGCACACTGGATCTGAATACATGGGCGCTCTACTTCTCAGATGCTGTGAATTCATTTCCTACATGTTGAGGCTGGATTTATGGCACAGACTAAGGTGTTTTTTCCCGTTCCATTATTAAGCAGTTGTTGGGTTGGTAAGAAACAAGGCGGAAAAAGGGAACAGCGGTTTGTTTCTTTCAGAGTTTGCCAAGTACTATAGATGGTACAGCGACATCATTTCACAGCCAGTATGGACAGGAGGAATGATTACAGTGACCAATAACTCTATAAATGTACTGGACAAAGGGCAGTGTGGGTATTTTTTTAAGATAGATTTGTCCTTTAATCTTGGGCATGCTGTAAGATTTGGTTGAGGTGTTCATGGTTCTGATAGGATGAATCCAAATTATTTTGGTGAATACTCCTTCAGCGCCACCAACAGGTCAGAATCTCCACTTGTCCAGGACTGAATACCTCCAGAACTCATTAAAAGATTTCTGCTAGCCACTCTAAGACAAAGTGCTGAACTGACAGACCAAACCCATCGACACTGCAATTCCTAATGCTGCTAGCACTGCTAAAACCTTTACTGCTCTTCCATATTTCAAGAATTCATTGGCTTTTCTCTGCGTACTTCTTCATCTTTCGTGTTAAGATTGTGAAAGTGCAGCTATCAATGACATTGACAGCATTTAAGTGTTATAATGTAGACCCATTTTGTTTAAGTCATATCTGGACACAGTCTTTGAGATTTCTTCAGTAACTTTATTTAACTTGTGTGAATAGGATGCACGCAACCCAAGGTCATTCTAGTCCAGTGTGATTAGGGCTTAGTTACCATATGCACTGACTAAATGCTGATGATCCTAAGTCATTAGCTAGTATCCAAGCCTCAGGTATGAAGTAGCTGAACTCTCCACAAGTTGACAGACAGCCACTTGGCACATCCAAGCTATGTAATCTAGTGTAAATGAAATATATTTTATAGACCAGGCCACTAGAAAGCAAACAAATACAACATGCTGTCATCAGTATGGATAGATAAACTGTCCAGAGTGGATCTTCATGTAGCAGTGAATAGGGAGCTGTTCATTTTAACTAAACATCATAAATCCTATCAGAGGAAATTGACGTGCATATTAATCTCTGTTTTGGTGAGGAAGAGAAATTTATTGTCATTGTGTATACCAGAGCTGGAGCTGTATTTCAATATTAAGTGCAAGTCTAGTCCAGTAAATTAGAAATTGACACAGTCCAGAAATGAGGTGCATATTAATGCCAGGTGGCAACAGGGCCAGGCTGATATACAGCTAAAGATGCAGAGCAGACAGTGCTGCACACCTCAGCTGATACACACTGTAGATTAGCTCATATCAGTGTGCTTTTACAGGTCAGCAGGTTCATTCAATCTGTCATTCCAACGTACTATAAACTTTCCATCTTCAGCCTCTTAGTTGACTTTCTTGTTGTTGTAAGCCATCTGAACCTGGATCAGCAAATGTATAAACTGTTAGTACTCCTATCCCTCTGCCTTGCCATCTACAGCCCCACATTGCCCTTTCTCTCTCTCTCTCTCTCTCTCTCTCTCTCTCTCTCCTCTTCCTTTCTACATTGGAACAGTAGGCCAGAGCTCATCTTAAAACACACACACACACACACGCACACACACACCCTCAGATTTGTGTTAACGAACACATTGTTCCTGGGCTGGTGTCCACGTCCTGGGCTCTGGCATTGATTGATGCGCTAACATGGCAGTCCTGCCAGTGGAAGTGACAGATACATTTCGCAGGCTTCATCCACTGAGCTGCCAACAAAACCAAAAAACCCATGCTGTGTCACCGTCACATAACCACCCACCGTCTGCCACCTGATTGGCTATTACCCTCACGTCCAGTACCAGCCCGCGGGGACCTTGTGCCGGGCCTGTCATTGCCTACATCAAGGCAGACATGACAACTTCCAACATACCTCTGTGTGGCTCTAAATATTCAAAGGGAGCGACTGGCCACTCGTGTGTCCAGAATACAGAATGTTTCCCTGAGTGACAGAGGAGGATCCCCCTCTGTGGAAGGACAGAATCATTTATTGGACACACTGCTCATGGCATGCAAACAGATATGGTGCTATGGTGAGGTTGTATTATTAGTTCATGTGGGTATGAGTATGTCTAGTACATGGAAAGAGCAAAAAAGTATAAATCTAGATTTGCTAAATTATTAAGAATCCCAAACCTTTTTGCTTTAGTTTTTCTCTTCTTTTTAACAGTATAGGGTGCTTTCTACTAAGTATTAAATAACTGCATACTTTAACATTTAGATTATATTGTCAGCAAATGCTACTTTTGTGACCTTGATTCGGCTGCTATCATATGCAAATAGAAGTGAAGAGC